TATATATATATTTGCGCATAGCACTAAAACTGAAACGCAAAGCGGGGCATATCACACAATAGGATGTGTTCATAAGCTACAGTTATTTTGTGCAATCGCATATTGCAACCAACACCGGTATATATAACCCTAAAACATATAGATAGATGTGAAAGCAGAGAACCGGGATTAACACACCATACCTCCGCCGGCTGACGGGCTGAGTGGTATTTATCCGCTCAGTTATATGGTTGGTGTTGATGGTCAGGTTTAAGCAGAGCTCGTGGTACGCAGCAATGCCTGACAGTGCCCGTATGTTGGTGGGGGTGCGATATCTGTTACACATTCGAGGGATTGATGTTAATAGGTGAGAGGTAGTGCGGAGGGGCCGTTATGCAGAAGGCACATATGCCAGAAGGCAGGGGCATGAGCTGGGATATATGTTTGTTCAAGTATGCAGCATTGCTAACTGAGGAAGCATGGGCTGAGAGAGAATGCCATGGGAGGATATAGAATAGACAGGTGTATGAGAATAAGTAGGCTATGACCATGCATATATATCCAAGTACGCAGCATTGCTAACTGAGAATGCATGGGCTGAGAGCGAATGCTATGGGAGGATATAGAATAGGCAGGTGTATGAGAATAAGTAGGCTATGATCGTGCATACATATCCAAGTACGCAGCATTGCTAACTGAGGATGCAGTGGGCTGAGAGAGAATGCTATGGGAGGATATAGAATAGACAGGTGTATGAGAATAAGTAGGCTATGATCATGCATACATATCCAAGTACGCAGCATTGCTCACTGAGGATGCATGGGCTGAGAGAGAATGCTATGGGAGGATATAGAATAGACAGGTGTATGAGAATAAGTAGGCTATGACCATGCATACATATCCAAGTACTCAGCATTGCTAACTGAGGACGCATGGGCTGAGGGAGACTGCTGTGTGACGCTAATAAACGGCACCCCATTCAGAGTGATAGGGCATGAGCGGTAGATAACCAGCTGTGTACCTGTGTAGGTACTTGTTGATTACACACCCGGAGTGCACGGACAAAAGGCGGAGCTAAAACCCAAAGACCACACATGGCCCACACAATAATCAGCCCATACACTACACACGTCTCACAGGGCACACCCTTCTGAACAACCACAGATCACACACACTGCCACAGACAAACAAGGGAGCATATGCACAAGGGTGTAGACAACCCCACACACCCCCTGCAACCAGCTAATGTACCACCCAGCCCACAAACAAACAAGGGAGCACATGCACAAGGGCGTAGACAACCCCACACACTCCCTGCAACCAGCTAATGTACCACCCAGCCCACAAACAAACAAGGGAGCACATGCACAAGGGTGTAGGCACCCCCACACACCCCCTGTAACCAGCTAATGCACCACCCAGCCCACAAACAAACAAGGGAGCACACGCACAAGGGTGTAGACAACCCCACACACCCCCTGCAACCAGCTAATGCACCGCCCAGCCCACAAACAAACAAGGGAGCACATGCACAAGGGTGTAGACAACCCCACACACCCCCTGCAACCAGCTAATGCACCGCCCAGCCCACAAACAAACAAGGGAGCACATGCACAAGGGTGTAGACAACCCCACACACCCCCTGCAACCAGCTAATGCACCGCCTAGCTCACCTGCGCAGAAGGTCTTGTTGTGGTTCGTAGGTGTGTGCGCGTGATATCACTGGAGGCGTCATGATCTTCAGAAACTGCATCAGATGCGACAGACTGACATGTATGTCCACCTCACACTTGCGCAGCAGTGGGTTACCCCCGCGGCGTCTTTTATTCGATGTGCTGTCGGCATTGGCTGTGGTAGTGCGTTTGGGGGCCATGAGAGGCTCAGCGGAAGTGGTTGTGTCTGCAGGTGAGAAGGTTACTATAAGAACTAAACTTAACCGATGTAGTGAAGTGGCTGTATATACAGGTGAGAAGGATACTATAAGAACTAAACTTAGCCGATGTAGTGAAGTGGCTGTATATACAGGAGAGAAGGATACTATAAGACCTAGACTTAAACGGCTGTAGTTCGTAACTGGTATAAAAACAAAACAAAACAAACACCACTGGCTGGTAGTTAGTAGGTAGGGCGGGGATGTGGGCGAAGCAGTGGGAGTAGCTGTATGCGGCATTTAATAATGCAACAGAAGTATCTAGAACAACTTGGAGGACGTTCGTTCAAGGGTAATCAATGTATGACTTTTGTTTGAGGTTTTCAGTGCGGAATAATAATGCTTATTCTTATACAGCCTTGCATCCACGCACGAGCACTCAATACCCGCCCATTCTGTATGCCAACGGATATTCGCTTCAAAGCAAGTGCAGATGTGATACTATTTATATTTATACATACATACACACACACACACACATACACACACACACACACACACACACACACACACACACACACATCACACACATATATATAAA